GGCAGAAACCTCAGGAAAGGGCTAGGTTTTCAATAAATACTGCCTAAGAACCCCTGGAAACCATGCACGACATTTCACATCTGTGTAGTCGGACTTAGTCCACATCCTGTACACTGAACTCTACTGACCTGCTCCCGCCAAGTTCACCAAGGATCTCCAACTCGTAAGTCCAATAGAGATTTCTCAGGTACAATTTTGATTGCTCAGCAGCATTTGACCCTGCTCATCAAGGCTTCCTTTTTGGCTCCCACAACACTTTTCTGTCTTGGAAGACTTTCTTTCCTCCAATTTCTCTGGACATTGCTGCTCTGTCTTCTTTGCATGCTCATTTCCTCTGCTGGGCCATTAAAAACAAATAATGATACTAATAATCATAGCAGCTGAGGGGCTGGCCTGGTGGCATAGTGGTTAAGTTCACACACTGCGCTTCAGCGGCCCAAGGTTCGCAGGTTCAGATCCTGGGCACGGACCTATACACCACTCGTCAAGCCATGCTGTGGCGATGTCCCATATACAAAAGTGGAGGAAGACTGCCACAGATGTTAGCTCAGGGACAATCTTCCTCACCAAAAAAAATAATAACAGCAGCAGCTGAAACATATCAGCTACTTCCTCTGTGCTGGGCACTGTTGTATCAGTTCTTTTAATTCTCAAAATAATCCTAAATCCATTTTCCAACCACCAGTCAGAGTGACTTTTCTGAAAACCAAATTTGATCATATCACTTCCTTGCTTAAAACCCTCTAATGGCTTTCACTGGCCCACAGCTTTTAAGGTCTTTCATGATCTGGCCCCTGCCCACCTCTCCAGCCCCATTTCTCACCATAACCTCTTCTTTTGTGACCCTCCTGCCTTTAGCTTCTCCAGTGAGAACTCTAGGTCTTTGCATGTGCCGTTCCCACTGCCTGAAACACTCTTCCTCCACCTCGTGGCCTAACACCCATGGCTCTTTCAGGTTTCAGTTGAACATCACATTTCAGTTGAACATTTTCTGGGAGCCCAGGGGGGCTGTATAGCATGAAGGTTATGAAATCGATCTGCCAGTTTCAAATCCCAGCTCTGCCACTTCCTAGCCATATAACCTTGGGCAAGCTATTAAACTCTCTGAGACTGCAATTCCTTATCTGTCATGAGGATTAAAGAAATCAGTACATGCAAAGTGCCTACATGTGTCACTTCTGTATTTCCTGACCCCAGACCATGTCAAGACTCCTTGCCAAGTATTTTCCAAAACTCCTTTATAATATCATATAATGCCAACCTCACTCCTGAGGATGTTTGTCCATCTGCCCACTTTGCAGACTGTCAGCTCCATGAGGGTGGGGGCATTTTGACCTTGGTCCCGCTCCTATTTCTAGTGCCCGGCACACAGTAGGCACTCATATTTGATATATCAATGACCAGAAATCCAACACCTACTAGATATCCTGGTGATACAGGCTCTCTAGCAAACGGCCACCTTGAACAAGGAAGGAGTGGATAAGATTCTTAGCAAGAGAGCATGCACAGCAGACTTGCGCTGAGGCTGAAAGCAGTCACAAAGGCGACTTGGTAATTAGGAAAATACCTTTATTATTTTTGAAATGTTCCAATGTTCAATTTATTATTTTTGAAATGTTCCCATATTTAATGTAAAAACCCTGATCATGGCTTTTTCACAACTTCACAAATTATAGAAAAATGACTTTCCCCCTGCTTTACAGAAATCTCCTTCCCCAAATCAGACAGGACTCCATTATGGCTGAAAGGGGGCAGGAAGGAGGGGCAGAGAATACAGCAAGTAGAACCACAGCCCTCTGGGCAGCCAGAGGCTTTTCCTGCACATTTAAAGCCCAGGCTGAGTCCCAAAGACCTGACCCCTCTGAGGGAGGCTCGGTCCATGCATATCCGTGGCACACTGAGGCAGGCTTCCGTCTCCACGGCCCATAGAGGGCCTACGGCGTGGTGCTTATGGCCGGCAGGCCACAGTCAAGGCAGCTTCGTGAGAACAGGAACAGGAGGCAGACCTGCAACTCAAACCCCTTTCTCTAAAACATGGCCAGGAGAGAGGCTGTGGACACTGCCCAAGTCGTGCTCTAGGTTTAGAAATTTCCCCTTTTACTCAGCTCACAAAGACGCACTTGTCAAATAGCTATTTTCTTTAAAAAATCAGAAAATAAACATTTGGTTCCATTTCAGCTGTAATCAGCAGTCGGTAATTTTTAGAAAAAGCCAACTTGAGTTGCTCATTGCTAAGTCCATATTTTTTATCAGGTCTCTGACTCCTTCCTTTCTCATCCATGAGCAGGGGGGTTACAGCTGTAGCAGAAGGCTGTTTGTTGACTTGAGAAAACTGTGAAAATGTTTTGCACTCACATACAAAGGCTGATGGAATTCAAAAACGACCCCACCGATTTTTATGAGAAACAGGACTGCTCCTCTTGGGTGTCTCAAGTCAAAACAAGGCAATCGCCTGGTGATTTATAGTCCCCACTACACATTTCCCGCCTTCCAGAAAGCATTAGAGAAAGGGTCAATGTCCGCCAGGAGCAATTGTAAACACACCACTGACAGCTTGGACACTTTGTTTTTAAATGCAGCAGGACTTTTTCCTTTGGCCCTGGCAGAAAGGCCAACTCCCTAGGACTGGTTAGGAAGGAGCAGACAGGAGGGCTCCCCCGAAACCTAAGAGTGAGGGACCAGTGGTCCCCGTTGACCGGAGCATGGCTGGGAGTATCATCAAAGGCAATCAATACATTATGGCATACGAAAATTTTCCTGTGTTCCCCAACTGGCCCCCAGGCTCAACCTGGCTGGACGAAGGGCACGGGAGGTACACAACAAGTTATCATAAGGCACATGGTTGAGGTGGCCCCCACACCAGGCCCAGAAAGATTATCTCTTCGCATGATTCCAAAAGTGTTGGAAGGCTGAGGAGTTGATGACACTCACTATGAGCAGCAGCAGCAGATACAGGGCTATCATGACCGTAAACCAATGGCTGGAAAACCAGGAGAGCTGGCTTGAAGCCCTGCTTAAGAGGGAAAAGAGAATGATGTTAGCAAAAAGAGGAAAACATTTTTTTAAAGTATATGCAACAACTTCTGGCTCAAAGAAGATGAAATGATGAATTTCATCCTCTGCAAGTGAGCCATGAAATGAAGCTTTGTGAGTGCTCCTTTGCTTAAAAAATCTCGGGCTGTTTGGTCTGGCACTGACACGCCTGTCACGAGAACATTTTCTAAACGTAAAAAGACAGCTATGCAATGAGCTCATCCCAATCTTCTCTTTTACAGCTCCTCTTGTACTGTTTATAACCCATCTTTTCTTAAGTAGGACTTTGGTATCTAGAATGACCTTGCTCAGGGTGTCTGCTCAGATGGCAGCAGGTGGCAGGTTATTTAGCAAAGGTCTTTTCAGTTTTAGACACGTACACATACCAGTCTGAGCTGGGGAAATCCTCTTAGGCCCGCTGGGAGATGACTTAAACCGTCCAAGAGTGCACTAAAGACACACTCCAGGGAGAAGTGGGAAGGAATGGAATTTTCAAGTAGAAAAAGCCAGATGATTTTAAACCAAAGGATAATGTTCCCCAGACTCAGGAAACCTATACAAATTTCCCAAATTTGGGGAAGAAGGGGTGGATTTTACCAGTTTATGAAATCCTAAGTGTGGAAACCACTGGTGTATACAAGCAGAAGTGGGGAGTATTAAAAGTGGTCCCCTTTCCTGTCTTACATGCTGCTCACCCCCACAAGAAGCTCTCCCATGGGCCCCAACAATGTGATAAGATCTTGAAGTGACCCCAACCCCGGAGAACCCTGTACATACCCCCAACAACCACACTGCTGAGATGGAATGAGGCATCCACAATGGATCTTAGGAGCCCGAAGGCTTCCTCTGCTGTTGGGTTTAACACCCTCATTTTAGAGAAAAAGGTGAAGCATCTCAGGTCCAGAGAGGAGCAGGCCGTGGTTCAACAGCCACCGTGGGAAGTGACAGAGCTGGGTGGCACACAATCCCAGCTTCAGAGCTTAACCTAATCAGCGACTTTCAGACTGCAGTCAGGAACCTCGGTGGCTAAGGGGCCTCACGGTCTGCGGCAGCCAGTCTGGCTTCAGTCAGTCCCTCATGTTGTGTTCACAAATCTATATCTTCTTTGCTAGAATACACAGTCCCCTTAGGGCCAGGACCACATCTTATTCGACCTGTATTCCTCCCCGTCACCATGTCTAGCATAGTGCTTTATGTACTTGATACACAGCTGAGGTCTGAGGCTGGAGGAAAGGGGCTGCTGATCACTAAGAAGCCAATACTGTGCAGCCTGCAGGGGTTCTCCTGGACCACACACGGGGACCGTCCTTCTTACCTCTTGGGCTGCTTCTGCGAGTACACGAGCAGGTACTTCACCCGCAGGAGCTGGTTATTGGTGACCACAAAGTACTTTGGAGGGATGTCTCCGCCTTCACTATGTTTGATTCTTGCTCTCCTGCGATCTATCTCCTTGGAATCTGAATAAGGAGAGTAAAGGGTGGGGGAAACACAAAAATAAACGAAGGAAATTATGAATAGAAATGGGTCAAGCCTCCTCGTCCTGAGGGTGGAGAGGCCCCAGCAGGCTGAGGAATGGCTTGTTTGTGGACGTGAAGCAGCACTAAAAAAACAGGAGAATCCGACAGAAAAACAGAAGGTGGAAAAAATGAATAGGAAAGTGAAAGGGATACAAGAGGAAAAAAACTGAGTGGGGAAAGCAGAGGGAAGAAGCAGACTGATGGCCATAACAACACAAGAATCTGGGACTGGGCTCTAAGAACAGGACTGGATCAGAAACAAGTCTCTTTGCAGGCATTAACCATTCTGGATTCGAGCTTCGTAGAACACTTATCTTCCACCCTTTGTACCAAGACTTGTTTAAAAAACAAAAACTTTTAATAACATGAAAAAGCTTTACCAAAAAAACAAAGGGGGGGCCAAAGCTGCATGGCAGCAGGCATTGCAAAGTCTTGTTTTTGATGTCTAATGTCACGGCTTGCAAACTTCCTAACAATTATAAATGCAAATATTCATGCTGTCTGGTTTGGGAGGGTGGCGTCAGACCTGGGCCCGTTCCTTGGGATTCTAATTGTTTCACATTAGAGGCCAGGAACAGACAGTTTTCTCAATTCTCCTTGTCTCAGTGGAACCAGGAGGCCAGTTCTGGAGACTAGAATGACAGTTCTGTGACTCTTCTGCCTCTGAGGGCAAAACAGCAGGGGGAACAGGGCAAAGGATCTAAGGGACAGCAGAGGAGTGAACTGAAGTGGCCAGCTAGTCATTCGCTCCCTGGAGGGCCCGGGATTTATTCCGCATGCCTCAATTGCCCCTCACATCCTCTGAGGGCTCTAGCATGCACCAGAGTAGCCTGGAGGACAGGGTCTGGACGCATCTTTAGATTCAGTCTAGCAAATATTTATCAGATGTCAAGTAGGTATCAGGCTCCCTGCTGACACAGGTGCCCAAGAGTGAATGAGACCCAGTTCCTGCCCTCAAGGAGCCCATGCTCTGGCCTCACGTACTCACTTGTGTCTATCAAATGTCACCTCCTTCCCAAAGCTTTCCCTGAGCACTTGCACCCACCATGATCGCTCCCTCCTCTGAGCTGCACCTCGTGGACCTCATCAACCCCCTCACCTGGCACTCTCTACCCACTGCCTTGTAGTAAGTGATATCTTTTCCGTTGCGTGTTCAACCCCTAAGGAGACTGCTCACTCCTCGAAGGCAGGCCCCTGTCCTACATTGCTTTTGACCCAGCCCCTCCCTTGGCATGCAGTGGGTGTTCCACCCAAAAGCTAGGCCAATGGCAAGAGTCTGTACAGCCCAGGTCCCGGCCAAGTGCTCACTCACCCTTCTTCTTCGTTTGGCACTTGACATCTGGATGGTCAATAACCTCACACACAGCCACGCAGCTGAGGATGGGGCCAAGGAGGCTGCGCTGCCATCCGTGGCCATGGGGGCTATAAATGAGGGCCAGGCTCAAGTCACTGGTGAGGTAGGTCCCTTCCCCGAACAAGGATGTCTGGAACAACAGAGGTCAAGAGAAAACAAACAGGGCCGGTGAATGCAGAGTTGGCACAGCAAGACGACACAGGTCTTTCTTCAACAGGGTTTCAAACATAAAACTTTCAAGCTTCTTTTTTTTCCAGCAAAAGGCATAAGGTCAAATAATCCTATCACATCATCACAGGGTTATTACTAAACACATTCCTATCTGATGACAGTTAACTGGTTGTGGATATGTCCGATTAGCCTGGCAAACTAGTAGTTTCTGTGGTCAAGGTTGAGTGAGAAAACTACAGGTATAAGAGTCCAAACAGACCTGAGTTTGAATCCTGCCTATATCTCCAACAACCTGGCAAGTTATCTAAACTGTCTGGGTCTCAGTTTCTACATCTACAAAATGGTGATAACAGTATCTGCTTCAGAATGTCATGGATGAGGATTCAATGAGATAATGAGCATTAAGCATCTAGCAGGACACCTGGCACATGAGGGCGGGGGGCACTCCATCACAGGCTCTTATGTCACAGTATATATAGTAATTCCTGTTACACGAATGCATTAAGCACGGTTACAGTGACAGGCTTGCAGAAGTCAAGTCACACCCTTACGTACAGGGAGGGAGATCACACTTGAGAGGGGAAGTAATCTGAGTCATTACTTGGAAAAGAAATGAATCTCCCAGACCAGAAACTGCAATGCAGTAAGGAAGGCCTCTATGAGGGGCCGGGTAAGTTGTACTCTTTGTGTTGGCATTGACCAAGAAAATGTCCAAAAATCTAGGAGGCAGCTCCCTGGTGGTAGGTGCCCTCCATGAGGAAGTATGCCAGGTGAGAGAGAAGGATCTCAGGTGAAATACCCATAAGTTGAACTTACGGCAGGCATAGCAAACACATCCTTTGCCCATGGTAGACATTAATAATCAACCAGGATGGCCAACATAAAAATATCAATCATAGCATTCATTCACACTGACTCAGAATCCCGCTCAACACAACATTCCAGGTAGCTGCTACCAATGAATGGAATTTGACATTTGAGTTGAAATTCAATTGCTATTCTCGAGCCACTGTATCAGTATCTGAGATGAGAAGTGGGCTCAAACAGCTCACAAACATCCTATGCTTGTAAATTGAGAAATGGCCTATTTAGCGGCACTAGGCTTCCACAATTCCAAACTGATTAAATGAAGCTTAGGGGAAATGAAACAAGCATTTGCTTGGTCTTTGGGAAGCCCCTTGCTAGGTTAGGCAGTGTCCCCATCTCTCAAAAGCTGACACAGACCTTTTCCAAGGACACTAGGTGTCCTCTGAGCTGACCCTACATCCATTCTCCACTTATGGCTGCCGGGTATATGCCCTTCCCTAGACTCGAGAACCTCGTGGTGCAAGGCTGCCGTGAACAGAGGTGCACAAGAGTGGGAGACTTGGGGTATCTCTACCATGAAAACAATCTCACAGCTTCACCTGGCAGGTGGGTTCCCTCAAGCAAGTCCCTCACTGAAAACTCAGACAGAGGAGGCCGGAAGAGCATCCCTTTTACCAAAAGACTCTTATGAGATGCTTCTTAGCAGCAAACTTCCTGGGGCACTGAAGTAAAGACAGGACTATAATCTGCAGGCAGCTTCTCTAGCCAGCTCTGGTATGAAGTGGAGGTCCCGGATTCCAGTAGCCTGGCCGTAATAATAAGTTGAGAGCCAGTGTAAACACGCCCGTCATCCTCAGCATAAACCCAACTGCGCTAATCAGATGCAGCAGTGTTGGGAAAGTCTTGCTAGCCTTGGGGCTGCCTCAGCCACAGCTGAGCCCGTGGCTCAGGGAGCCAGCTCCTCAGACAAGGCAGATGCTGCCACGCCTGGGGAAAGGCCTGCGGCCCCCCAACTCCCCCAGATTCCCTCTCCATCAGCCTATAAGAGCAGCTACTGTGTCCTTGGTGCCTAATAGGGGAAGAGCCCTTTGCATAGATAAACTGTTTTAATCCTCTCCGCACACCAGAAAGTGGGTAATAGCGTGCTATTTACAGATGAGAACACTGAGGCTCAGAGAGGTTAAGTAAATTTGCCCAGGCCGCAAAGCTGCCAAGGTGGTCTTTATGGCTCCCGTCTGTACTCTTCCTCTTACACTTCACTGAGGGGCAAAATAAGTGCTAGCAGGGAAGGGGTGGTTGACACTATTGACTCCTAAAAAAGGTGGGAAAGGAGCTCTCCTGGGCACAAGTCTCAAGTTCTCAAGGGCCGACTCTGTTGGCGCGTCCCCTAGGGAACTGTTTCTCAACCTTCTCCGTGCATATGAATCACCTGCGGAGCTTGTTAGAGTGTGATTTCTGATCGGATGGGACAGGCCTGAGATTCCACAGTTCCAACACCCTCCCAGGTGATGCAAATGCCCCTGGTCCAGGGACCTTGCTGAATAGAGAGCTGGCCACACACTGGGATCACCTGGTGAGATTTTAAAGCATTCTGCTGTCTGGGCCCCCTCCCAGAGATTCTGATTTAATTGGTCTGGGATGCAAGCAGGCATGGGATTTTTAAAAGCTCCCCAAGTGATTCTAAATGTGCAGCCAAGGTTGAGAACCATCTTTAAATCGATGCTTCTCAAACTGTAATCAGTATAGGAATCACCTGGAGATTTTGTTAACATGCAGGTTCTGATGCAGAAGATCTAGGGTGGGCCCAAGATTCTGCATTTTCACAGGCTCCCAGGTGCTGCTGCTGCTGGGGCTGGTCTGCAGACTGCACTTTGAGTGGCAAGGCTTTAGTGAACCTATGCCCCCACCCCCACCAGCAAACTCCCCAGGATTCTAACCCCACCTCCTCCCCGCCCCGTCTCAGCAGGCTTAGGCCCCACCTTGTTCAGGTGGCAGTGCAGGCCATTGTGGATGATGGAATGGAAGTTTTCTAGGCGGCTCCCGTGGAAGGCGTAGATTAGGTCTCGGTCTCCTTTGGTCTCATAAAATTTGGCGTTCGCTGGGTCGGAGTACTCGATTTCAAACAGGAAGTCCGGCACGGGGACAGGCGTGTGAGGGGCACCAGTCAGCTTTTGGATCTTTTCAAACTTGAAAACATGTAGGGAGTTGCAATTTTACTCGGGAAGCTGGTAAAATGTGCTGCCAAAATGGCCTCCTAAACCCTTGGGCTTAACTCCTATGGGCTCTGCTCATGAGGAAAACTGGTTTCATGAGAATAAAGACATCAATTTATAAAGAAGCTCAGAGCTTATAGCTCAAACTGCTTTCCTCTAATAATGTTTTTCCCTACAGTAGGCTGAGAAGCATGAATTGCTCCTTCTAACTAAAGATCACTTCTAATTTTCATAACACTTTCACATCTATTTCCTGCATTCCATCTTTACAATAATCTCAGGAGGTAGAAAGGTATGATCAATTGCAAAATGGCCACAAACTTTTCCTCCCATCCCTATCCATTCACCCCTCTGCAATGTGACCTTGCAGGTGGAATTCCACCTAGATTCCATCAAGAGGTGGAGTCTACTTCTCCGCCCCCTGAATCTGGGCTTGGCCATGTGACTTACCTTGGCCAATGGGACCTTGGTAAACATAAGGCAGACAGACACTTGGAAAGGGCTTGCCTTTCCTTGTCTGCTGCTGGGAACACTTCACCCTTCACAGCCATGTGAACAAGCCCTGCTAGTCTTCAGTAGGATGAGAGCCTCACAGAGGAAGGCCCCAACCCAGCAGCCATCCCAGGTGAAGCCCCAAACATGTAAGTGAGGCCACCCTAGATCATCCAGCCCCAGGCAAGCCAGCCCCACCCAGAAGAACCACCCAACCAACCCATGGAATCATAAGAAACCATCAATGTTGTTTTAAGCCACTAGGTTTGGGGGATGGTTTGTTATGCGGCAAAAGCTGATTGATACAGAAGGGTAAACTCCTTCCTAAAGGGCAACTATTCTCTCAGGACAGAGACCACATCATTTCAGTGATTTCCAAACAGTGAGTCACAGACTAAAGCCAGTCTGTGGTGAAGTTTTCCCTGGGTTATGATTAAAGAAGAAGAATAAGGGCAACATAACAGATATATTTATATTGACATAAGGTTGCCATAAGCCTTTCTTTGGAAGAACTGTCCTTTATTATGAGATCATTTATAAAATGATGACATATGGTAGGCTAATGTCCTTACTTGGGCACAATAAAAAGCTAATAATCCTGGGTGCCAACATTCCATGTTTTAATGGAATTTAACTGGTCCATAATCAAAAGTCAAGGAGCCATTGCCTTATCCACTTTACCTACAACACCCAACATCTAGTAAGTGCTTGATGCCCATGTGAGGTATGAATGAATGAATGAATCTCAATTTAACAGATGACAAAAGTGAAACCCAGAGATCATCTAGGAGTTAGCAGCCCAGCTTGGACCTGAGTATAGGTCTCCTAACTCCCACTCCATGGCTCTTTAAGTTACTTTACCATCCAACACAGATGGATGTCCCTAGACCCCAGAATCCAGGACACTAAATTCTATGCCACCTAAGGAGGATTTTTGTCTTTAGCAAGAGCTTGTAAAATTGAATGCTCTTGAATTAAAATTAAGTGGAGAACAGCATAGATAAACCGCTGCTGCCACTCAGAGGAAAGAGCACCAGATCAGGGATCTGCCAGTCCTACCCTCTGCTCCTTGTCATCCCAGCTTGTCCCTGGAAGATCCCAGCCAGACAAGCAAAGCCAAATTATGGAGTGTCTGGTCTGTGCCAGAAACTGTACTGGGGGTGACACATATTCTATCACAGCTCCCCTCTGAGCTAACTATTAATATTCTCAATTTACAAATGGGGAAAAGGAGATTCAATAATGGATGGAAGTGGGATTTGAACCCAGAGCCTAAGGTTTTCCACTACCTTAGGCTCTGCCTCTCTGTTTCCTGACAACTGGACTAGGCCAAAATTTCTTAAGGTGTGGTCAAGGGCCCACCCTTATCAGAATTACCTGGGGTGCTTGTGATACCCAACGTTTACCAAGCCCTCAGCATATGCCCTTAGGCATCGTTCCAAGTGAGAACATTCATTCAGTTCCCACACCCTGATGGAAGTATATGATTATCCCCATTTTACAGATGAGGAAACTGATGTGCTGAAATGCACCCAGTAACCTGCTGAAGGTCACACTGCTAGGAAGTGGGAGAACGCAGCTTTGCACTGCCAGTGTACAAGTTCCTGGGCTCCACTCCAGACACAGAATCAGAATCTCTGAGGGCAAGGTCCAGGAATCTGCATTTTCAACAAGCTGCCCAGGTCATCCTGGTGCACAAGAAGCCCCCAGGGCCCCTCAGCCTTAGGAATCTGTGATCCTACAGATTAAAGTCTCACCTCTGACTTCCCTGCACTGTGGATTGTCAGGACCTTTGAGGATAAAATCCAGCTCACCAGGTCCCAGGCCCGTTTGTCTTTGTCTCCAGAGGACTGGAGAAGTTCTTTCAGGTTGGGTAACTTGCTGGCATCTGCAAGCTGAAGTGAGGAAAAACCTCCATTAGCAAGGATCCCAGACAAAAACGATAACCAGGGGCCCTCTAGTGGTAAGGCAGGCGACCTGCACTTTTTTCATGACCAGGGAATTTCCTGAGAGTAGGGAAACACGCAGGTCAACAATCCCCTTTCCAAATAATACTCAATGACAAAAGCTCCCAACACTGAAAGGCTGTTTTGTAACTCATTTGCTACAAAACCTGACCTAGGCTGATTCAATTAATCTTTATTTATCCTACTTCATGTTACTATTGATGCATTTTGCTGCAGGAATATAATGTCTGAGGAAGGGCTCACCTTGCTGGAGGTGTTACCAAATACATGGAATATACACGTGTAGGTAAAGAGGATTTAGGGTAAAGGGGACAAAGCCCTGTCCCTTCAGCATGAGAAAATGACCATCATTAACCTGTTAACTGCTTCCCTGGAGACAGGATAAGGTAGCATGGCAACTACATACATAACCAGGCAACACTTATGGGAAAAATGACCCAGAATAGAAAACCGCATCTGGGCTGGAAGAAGCTCCGAGTGGGGAGTCCACAGTTTGGGGTTTCCTGAGTGTGGTGATTTTTGTCACCTCACTTTTGTGAGGACCCTGGCAGCCATGTCTATGGCCTTCTTACGAGAGAGACCTGCCTTACAAGAGAAAACATGGGCTTCATTAGGCCAGAGCACGGCCCGCACCCACCCGACATGACTCTCATTTCCTCACATCTGAGCTGTCACTCTTGGGGGACATAGACTAGCCCCTGGACCTCTGCTGGACTGTGCAAGGACTTCTGCAGAAACAAAATGCCTGACACTACCCTGCTGTGGGCCGTGATCTGTCCTAGAGCCTTCGGATTTAGGCTGGTTCCAGTGTGGCCTGCGACAGGCATCTGAGTCGGACAGTTTAGTTGTGTCACTGCAGCACATTATTACTTTTGTAAAATCAGGCAGAATCTGAATTCTGAAACACATTTGGTGCCAGGATTTCTGACAAGAGACTGGGGACCTGGACTAACAGATAGCTACAAGGTTTCTGTAGCTTTTGCTCAGAAATTACAACTGACTAGAAGCCAAATCTCTCCAGCATGGCATTTAAGACACTGTGTCATCTGTGAACATGCCCTGGGTTGTACTACCTGCAAGCTTTGCTCACTCAGTCCCCTGGAATGCCCCGTCCTCCATCTCTACCAACCCAGGCACCCTTCTCCTCTAAACCCCTAAAGCACTCAGCCCCAATCCTCTCTCCTCAGTATGGCCATGACGCCTGGAGGCCAAAGACTGTCTTGTGTTTTTTAATTCTCCTCTTTCCTGGATGTAGAGGACAGAACAGACAGATCTCGATTTGAATCCTTGCTCCTTAGGCAAGGCACTGGACCTGGCTGAGCCTCGATCTCCTCTCTAACACGAAAACCCCACTATCTCCACGTTGGGTTGTTGGGAAGATTAAAGAAGGTAGCAGAATCTCAGGGCCTGGTCCATACCTGTCCATTTCTTTTCTTGCTTATATTTCTCCCCGGATGACACATACACACACACATTTGCTAGGGATGTAGTTGGTACTTCATGAGTACCACTGGTTCTTCTTCCATTTCTCTAGAAAGTCGACTGTTGCTGACCTTAGGGGTTTTATTTCTTAACTCTGTAGCTGAAAATCAGAAACATTTCAGGGCTGCTTTCTTCCTGTCTCTATTTCCAAAGATTCAATTAATAGCCTCAGACTTCTAATAAAACTCTCTCTACGTGCCTCATGGAGCATCAGTGAGGATCCAATTAAAAAGGGGGGGGAGGGGTGGCGCAGTGATTAAGTTCGCGCACTCCACCTTGGCGGCCTGGGGTTCGCAGATTCAAATCCCGGCACGGACTGACACACTGCTCATCAAGCCGTGCTGTGGCCACGTCCCACATACAAAATAGAGGAAGATGGGCACGGATGTTAGCTCATGGCCAGTCTTCCTCTGCAAAAAGAGGAAGATTGGCAACAGATATTGGCTCAGGGCCAATCTTCCTTACCTCCCCGCACCCAAAAAAAAAACCATGGACGTGTGGACGTGTAAATGCTCCACCAGTGTTGGTGCTACACAGTCGGGAGTGCAGAAAGGTAAATAATTATGACTTAAACCTATTCATTGTCATAACAAAGATGGATACAAACTACTAAGGGGAAAATTCAGGACTCCTGTTGGTTAGGGGTTGAGGGTAGGGGTGGTCAGGACTTCGCAGAGGAGGTGCTGTGTGACCTGGGTTTGACATGCAAAGGCCAGAAGCAGGAAAGTGCAGCGTGTAGTCAGGGAAGTGGGTGGCGACATGGTGAATCATGCAGGCTCTCCTCCCAGGCAGCCCAGGTCCAAACCTGGGCTCTCACTTCCCCCAGTCACAGTGTGACCTGGGTGAGTTGTGTGACCTCCTGTGGCCCAGTTTCCTCCAATACATAATTGGGATCTTATTAGTAGCCACTTCACGGGATCCCTGTGAAGGTTAATCAAGTTAAACAGTACAGTGCTTAGAGCACCAGGAACGTCTTAAGTCCTGTACTCTAGTGTTAGTGGGACTGCCGTGATTGTTGTCATCATTAACTGCAGGTGATTCTGTGACACTGCAGCATAGAGTGTAGGGGAGGGGTTTCCAGGAGGAACAGGAGTGAAAAGGTGACTTGAGTTCAGCCTGTGAAGGGCCTCGTACTTGCCTTGGGGACTCTGGGCTTTGTTCTGTAGGCAACAGGGAGCCACTGCGGGTACCTGAAGATGCATTCCAAATGGTTTACCCTCAGGTGGCCACTCGCATGGCCTGATGCCTGCAGAGTCCAAAGGACACCCCAAGCATTCTGTGGCTCATCTTGGCCTCCCCATTCCTTCTTTTCTGCTTCTGGTCCACACCTGTTATCCCAGAGCCAGACCTGAGTCTTCTCTCCCACGATTACTGATCCCATGACTCCTATTCTCAAATCCCACCTGTGAGCTGCAGTGCTCCCAGCAGCCCAGACCTGGGCGCAGGGAGCCCCACAGAAGGCCAGTCAGCTAAGCCAGGGCCCTTTCAGGGCCTCAGTCTGGGGAAATGGGAGACACTCCTCCCAGCTCTGAGCTGGACCCCCAAGTCCTGGCCTGAGCCCCCTTGGGGCCAGCGCTCTTCCAGGGCTCGTGCTGTCCCACTGCTGCCTGCCCAGACAGGGCCCCTGTGTGTCCTGTGGGCTGCCCTCTTTGTCCACACTCTTTAGCCCTTCAACTGACCTTCCTTATGTCCCATTTCACTTTTCAAGCTACTCTGAAAAATAAATCTGCTCCAAGTTAATAGGATTCTTCTTCTTGCGACCAAAACCTGTCTGCATTTTAGTAGGGCCTTTTGGGGACCAGGCACACAAGTAGGGTTGCCAGATAAAATACAGTTTGCCCAGTTAAATTTGAATTTCAGATAAACAAAAAAATAAATGTTTTTAGAATAAGTATAACCCAAGCAATATTTGGGGCATACTTATACTTTAAAAATTATTTGTTGCTTATCTAAAATTCAAATTTAACTAAGTGGCCTATATTTTTATTTGCTAAATCTAGCAACCCTCCCCCAAAAAGGCCCTTCATAATCTGGTCTGGCCTCTCTAACAGCACCTTCTGCCACAAACTTCCCGTTGGTTTCCCCCCACGCTGTTCCTCAACTGCCCTATGTCTCTGCTCCTCTGTGCTTCTGCAGCTGCCCAGCACGACATTCCACTCAGTCTTCCCAAGGCCAGACTAAAGTCAGCTCCCCTGTCGCTGACCACACACAACCTCTGTGCTCCCCCGTGCTCTACACGGAATCTCACATTGGTACTTGACTCTCTGACAAACACTTTCTGAGGGCCAACCACATCTTATGAACCCTGGAGTCCCAGCAGCCAGCCTAGAACCAAGCATGAAGTTCAGAACGAGACAGTAACAGCTACTATTTATTGAGGCCTTATCACGTACCACACACTGGGTTAACTGCTGTGCACGTGTCATCTTATTTTATTCTCACAACAGCCTATTTTATTTATTTATTTTTTTGGTGAGGGAGATTGGTCATGAGCTAACACCCGTTGCCAATCTTCCTCTTTTTGCTGAGGAAGATTGGCCCTGAGCTAACATCTGTGCCCATCTTCCTCTATTTTGTATTGGGATGCCTCCACAGCATGGCTTGATGAGCGGTGCATAGGTCCACACCCGGGATCCGAACCTGCGAACTCGGGACCACCGAAGCAGAGTGCACAAACTTAACCACTACACCACCAGGCCAACCCCTCAACAACCTATTTTAAAGGGGAGGAAACTGAGGCTTGGAGAGGTTAAGCACCTTGCCTAGGGTTGTGCAGCTATTCAGTGGCAGGGCAGGGACATGCAGCCAGGTGGCCTGACTCCAGAGTCCACTCTCTGTGATTCTCTCCTACCAAATCAACGGAGAAATTTATAACGGACTAAATATTTTAACCCAAAGGAGCAATTCTAGCAGAAGTTGAAGAGGCTGCTTGGGAAGCTTCAGGTATGTTTCCAGAGTCTCCTATCCCCCCAAATAATACACACAATCAAGACAGGTACTGGCTGTGCCTAAGCTCTGTCAAAGGAAGGGAGAGAGATGTATGAAACGTGTGGTACAGAGCGGCGTCAGGAAATAGAAAACCCTCCATCTAGACAAGAGTTATGAACCATGGCTCGTGACAGTGGAAGGCTCTTACCATCAACTTGAGGAAAATAAGTGTTCAGGAGGAAGGAAGGCATTTCTGGAGGTTGTAGGGGAAAGGCAGAGGGAAAGGTTTACAGGGCAGGTAGGATGGGAGTGAGACGTGGAGTGATGGGGAGGATTTTAAGAGGCAGAGAGAAAGCACTCCCAGTGGGAAAGAGCATGGCCAAGAGGTAGAGAAGTGAACAGCGCCTGTCCCAAAAGGTGGTCCCAGGCTCAAATGCCCCCAGGGCCAGAGAGGTGATGAAAATGAGTAAGGGGGGAGTCTAGGAAAGAGTGGGAAGGACTCTGTTGAACTGGAGACC